TTTTTTTTTTTTTTTTTTAAATAGTACTGGAAATCTGATCATCCAAAATTTGCCAGCCTGCCAAAATAATGTTTACAAGGCAGTCTCCTCACACATTCCAACTGGAATATTATAATGTCTGTCATCTTCAGTTATAAGAGTCACTACAGGCCAGTCTTCCTCTGGGTCATTAGGATAATGTGTGATGAATTCATCAGTGCTGTATTTATATAGTCTATAAACTTTGATGGTATGTCGCAGAGCATATGCAAGAAGAAACATTTCCACCTAGGTTTAAAAAAAATAAATCAGTTAGGATTAAATATATAGCACCAACTGAATTTTATCGTTGCACATAAAAATATTATTTTGTATCAAATTCAGCAGAAAGACAGCAACACTAAGGACACTTCAATGAAGAATAAAAGACAGAGAGATGTTACGATTTAGGCCTCCCTTGAACAGGAAAGTACAATGAAGCCCCATCCTGTAAAGAACCAATTCTTAGTGCTCAACTACACAGGTAATTGACTCAGTCTGCTCATTATACATTATGGCCAAAAAGTTTGAACCCTGAGTGTTTAAGGCATTCAAATATCTGAAAATCAAGTCACTTCCTTTCTAATGACATGGATGCCCAGAGCCCTTGAAATAAATAAATATACTTAATTATGTGCCTAACTCTGGACGTAAGATAGAAAGTTCTAGACCTACACATTTTTTGTACAGAAACTATCAGATATGTAATACTCATTTACTTCATTACACCTGCCTGTCTCTTCAACTGCATAAATGTAAACAAGGGCTGGTAAGGACCACTACACATGCTCCAAGACTACGTATAAACAGTCAAAAAGACCAAGGCTGAAACAATTCAATCTTCACAGGTTAGTCTAAGCTGCATAGACGGAACCGATATGCAAGTGAACAGATGTTCACTTTTGATTCCAGAAATGCAGCCATATGTGGCTCAGGCCAGAAACTGGGGAGCACCAGAGCACGTCTCCCTGCTTGGCTGGATCAGACAGCTTGGCTGGATCAGACAGCTTGGACAAAAGCTAGTTTGCCTAGTCTGTGTTGGGAGGTTTGGGGGCAGGTGCAAAGCATCCTGGGATGCTGCAGGACTGCAAGTTGACTTGATTCTGAAGAGGATCTGAAACAGAAGTTCAATAAACCAACTTAACTTAAACCAGTTAAGTCTGATACTACATCCATCCAGGTTTATCTGAAATTGATTTCAGCCATTTTGAAAGTAGTTTACGAGCACTGAACTGCTGCTGCGTTACAGATCTGAACTGGTTTGTTTTCATGGCTTCAATGTATAATTCCACATGACAAAAAGGGAAAATCCCCTTATGAAATAAAAATGCTTTAAAAAAGTCTATATACTCATGATAGGTCTTAGTATCTTTAACACAAAGACATTACTACATAAACATCTCTTCTACGGCTCTACCACACTTTAATGCAGAAATCTTCAGCTTCAGCAGTAACAGCATACAGTTACATTGTTCCGTAACTGCTCTGGAGAGCAAGATACTTCTCCAAGCAATGGAGAAAAGATGTAAGTGGGGCACTGTTATTGCAGTCAGGCAGGCAATAAATCTGCAGTGCTGAGTTCTGCTATCATATAGGCCAACAAAAATGTAATCACGGAAGCCAAAAGGGGGCAGGACCTGGCCCTTTTATGTTACCAGTTAACAAGTGTAAAGTTAGGTGCTGCATTTAAGATTTCTTTCCTGTAACCCAGCGGTGGACAAATATTTCGGCCAGAGGAACGCTTAATGAGTTTTGGTGAGCTGTCGAGGGCCACAAGGGGCCTCTGTTGAGGGCCACTGCTCGACATACCCTGCCCCCTGGTTGCTGTTTTGGGACCACAAGTTCTGCCCTTAACCCAACCTTTGCAACTGGAAGTACTCCTTTTGGGAGGAGAGTGTGACATCTCGGAACTGGAAAAAAATCAAATCATATACTAAAAATCAAACGTCTAGTGTAACATATTTTAATTTTGTTGAAAAATATATTTTTGTCCTCATTTGTGTGCATTTTCACAGTGTATATAGAGGAGACTGCATAATAGCTCAAAACACAGTCTTACTTTTGTGTACTGTGTTTCTGTGGGGGAGCATGTGGGGTGTGGTGTGTGTGTGAGGGTGTGCATGGGGGATACGGCAGGGGATGTATAGGGGCCCTCTGATGACACACAGCCCCAGCCACCAGCAGCAGCACCAGCAGGTGGCAGGCCTCCAGGGTGCTCATGGCCCATGGCAGGCAGAGCCTCCCAGCAGCACACAGCTCTGACCAAGTCCCAGGGGGTGCACATGGTGGCAGGGTGCAGGGCCAGGCACAGGGCTCTCCGTGACTCATGGGCAGCTCCTGGGACTTGGCCAGAGCCACGCATCACTGGAG